TTATCAGAGAAATAACTTCGAGTTGTTATTTCTATTTATTATGGTGTGTAGTTAGAAGTTACCATAGTTTGCTAGGTCGCCTGACCAGGAGACCGTATAAGAACTTGCTTGGTATCGATTCCTTCGAGTGTGCCTCTCTCGCGTTTCTCTTTTGCAATCTCAGATTACAGGGCCTGTTTTGCCCAGTATACATACGACATCATTATCTATGTCAATTATCTTAAGAGTTTTTCTCTTTATATACTTATTATTATTTTTTAATAAAATTTAATTAATTTTTCATAGTTTATAACTTTTTGTTACATGAAATATTTAATTTATATTTTGTATTATATGTTTTTCTGATATATACGATATTTATATAGGACGTAATTTTCTAATTTTATTAAAATATTAGAAATAAACATTAAAACGAAAAAATTTATACATTGATTTATACATCAATTTATACAATCATAACATAGACATTAATCTTGTACAAAAAAATATTCATTAAAAAAAATTATTGAGTTTTGACTTGTTTGACGTGCTGGTAGATATCGATGTACTGATAAAATTACAGTTATCTCTGGCTACTGAATATTATGCTATATTAATCCGTCTGATAGTTTGACATAATCTTTCAAAGAACGACGTGTATTTCAGAGCTCAGTCTCTCACCTGCACGTGACGCGAACAGACAGCCAGTCCGATATCGCGGTATCCATCGTGACATGTGGCGGTAACGATAAATTTAATCATTTTTATGAAAACGTTGAAAGAGTCGACATTCGGATAGATACATCACGTAAATTTTAATCCAATTATTTCTTTAACATTCGTGAAATTTTTCTTCATTTATTAGAGCATACATTAACGTTCTATGTGCGATTATTTGTGCATTTTTATGTATTAGATATTATTAAAGTGTAGAATTTTTAAAGTTTAAAAAGGAATATAAAATTAGACTGAATTCAAAAGATTCAATCGCTGTTCAATTTTTATAGTGTAAAATATAAATTCGTATTTATGGATGTATGTGCGTTTTACGTAAAGATCTAACATGGCTTACTGAAATTGGTATATTAAATTTTTTTTTAGTTATATTAGTTTTATTAAAATTTTGAACCGTCGAGTCAAATAATCGGATTATCATAAGACCTTGTATTATCAATAATCTGTACCTAATCTCTCGCATGATATTATTAAATGTTTTTCATGTCATATTTGTAAACTTGTTCGCGATCATCATACTGTCCTAATAAGAAACAAACTACCATAAAAGAAAACAGCTTAAAGCAAAATTCAATCAAGTGAAAGGAATACCGACCGCAGATTTGCCTTATTGTTAGAAAGAAATAACGTCGTTTAAAAACAAACATTTTTTCTTTATTATTATATATCATCCATAAATCGTAAAATTTATTTAACTTTTAAACTTATTGTTCTTGATATTTACGTAATTGAAAATTCTTTTTTCCTTTGCGAAACCGCAGTAAATGATTATTACATGTTATTCGTAGCTTATATTATAGTTACATTTTCCGCAGACATAGGATTTTTAGGAATATTCTCGCAATTCATCAGAACTGTGAAAGTTTCCATTTGATCTTGAAAAGCTCACCTCTTCAAAATGGATAATGAACTTAGACCTCTCGTGAACAGCGGAAGAATAGCAGCGTCCACGAAAATCGCTTATGCTCTTGGACATGTTTTCAATGACCTAGCAGCTGCTATATGGTTCTCCTATACCTTAATCTATCTGCAACGAGTTGCATTATTAGAGCCTATCGTCGCTGGTGCACTTTTACTCTTAGGTATGTGTCGATCTATTCATGCGCGAACGATGCTACTATTAGTCATACTATTGATTAATGTTCGAACGATCTTTATTCAAGGACAAGTAATCGATGCCATTATGACACCCATATTTGGTTTTCTAATTGATCACTATTGCAAGAAAAAAATTTGGCACATCATTGGATCCGTGATGGTCACTCTATCTTTCCCCGTAATATTCGGCGGTTTTGTCAATTCATTTACTACGGTTGCGATGCTTTTATATATAATAAGTATTACGATATTTCAAATGGGTTGGGCAGCCGTACAAATCTCTCATTTATCGATGATCCCCTCGTTAACTAATTCCGTACTAGCTCGAACAGATTTAACCGCAATAAGGTATGCGATTTGTGTAATAATCTTTTGAAAACGTGGGATTCTAGATAGATAATTGAATGGTGATAATTGAAGCGAGTTCTATAAATATTATTTTAAGGCAAATTTACTCCTAGATATTCTGCTCAAGTTGGTGCGGCTGTGGTAGCTTTTGTAGTAACATGGATAGTTCTACCAACTAGTGGCGAATCGATCGATTCGCCACTAATTTCATTCGTTCAATTGAATCAGCAAGATGATTATAAATTCAGAGTACGTATGAAGAAAAAAAATGATAAAAAAGATATGCATGTGATTCTGATTTGCAGAATATCGTTCTGGTCCTCACAGCTTTCGGTTTGACCGCGACTGTCTTTTTTCACATTTTCCTGAAAGCGAATCTCTTGGAACAAACAATATACTTAAAACCGAACATCGAAAAATCAATTAAACCGTCGAACGTTTCATTGAATCGTCGAATATCATGGAACGATGTCATGGTTTTATTAAGAGTCGCGATGCTATACGTGGCGAGCAGATTATTTATCACTCTCACTACGATATATTTGCCATTGTATATAGAAGAGACAAAAGTTGGTAAGCAAGCGTTGGCCAGTGTGCCGTTAGTATCATATGTATTCTCATTCACGGCTGCTTTGCTACTCAAATATCTCAACAGAATTTGCAGTACCAAGGTAAATTTTTATAATAAGAAAAAAAAAAAAAGAAAAGACAAAGAGATACTAAATATATTTTTGTTTCGTAGGCTTGCTACTTTTTCGGCGCTATAATTGGTATAACCGCCGCCGTTGTCACGGAATTTGTCGGAAGTAACTCAACAGTCGTATACATCGTTGCCATATTAATTGGCGTGGGAAGCTCTATCACGATGGTCACCGCATTGAGCGTCACCGCCGAATTAATTGGCTGTCGAACGGAACGTAGCGCGTTCGTATATTCAATCGTCACTTTCCTCGATAAAATCATAACTGGTCTCGTAGTGATATTCATCGAGAAATTGTGAGTAACTATCCAAATTTCATTTAATTGCAGCCCTTCCATAATATTAAAAATTGTTATAAACAAATATAACTTACTTTAAGAAAAATGTTTACTTTACGATTTTAGATTAATAACGCAAATTTGGCTAATTCATTGTTTCTAAAACTCATTTTTATTTTTTTTTTTTTTTTTCAGGAGATGCAACGACAAAAAACTTTGTCCTACTTATAATCGAGATACATTGTCCATCGTTTGTGCTTCGTCAATGATACTGGGACTTGTAACTTTGCTATCTGTATCGCGTTCTCTTACTTAAGATATTAATGAATTAATATTTTTTGTATTATATGTCGTGTAAGCCATGATTGGAAAAGATTACTTTTTAAACATAACGCCTTACCGTTATCATTATTTGCGGTAAAAAGTACTGTTATTTCATTATTACCAAGTCTAAAAAGTGACGCGTTACTGTTAAAAAATCGTTACTTTTCGTTACTTTTTTTTGTAATTATGCAAGACGGACCTACTTACTGATTTTAATAAAATTAGAGTCATTCGACGTATTTTTGCATGAAAAGAATGAATCTGACAGAAAAATAAGTGTCACTCTGTCCGGCGAACTGAGATACTAATAGTTAAAGGTTGATGACTATTGAAGTAAAGAAATTTGTTGAATTAATTCATTTCATGCAAAAACGTATTGAATATATGATACCTAATTTCATCAAAATCGATGAATAAGCTTATCTTCTGTATAATTACACTTTTTTAAAATATTAAAACAGGTTTCTAAAACAGAATGCTAAGAATGCAGAATATAAAGTAAATATAAAATATTCAGAAAAATATTTATATCTTTGAATATTTTTATCTCTCATTAACATTTTACATACTTATGTTTAATTCTATGGTATGTTATTATATAATAAATATTTTAGTGTTCTTATGCTAAAGTAAGGATAGTGAATGAAACAAAAATAGGCAAAAAGTTTTTGGTTTATTTACCTATAATCTTTATTGTTCATGACGATCGTGACCTATAAAAAAAGTAACGTTACAAGTGTAACGAGGTCAATTTTGTTACTCGTTATTAAAGAAAATATAACGTCGTTAACTTTAATTTTTTGTTACTAATAAAAAAACTTTTTTGTTATTAATAGAAAAAATAACGGTGTTACCAAAAAAGTAATGAAAAAGTGTAACATCATTATAAGTAATGCGTTACTTTCCAATCCTGATAAATCATATAACATATTTTCTCAACATTACTAGCAGTAGATAAAAAAATGTTTTGTATTGTTTTATATTTCGTATTATTTCTGCATCGTTTTTTAAATGATAAATTTATCATACCGATTACACTAACTTTTCGAAATTGATAAGAAAGTTAGTACGTCATTCTTACAAAGAAAATAATGATAGTAGCACTTTTTACAGTTCCTTATAAAAATGAAATAGAGTTTTGTATTTGTTTTACACCAAAATTAGCACGCTATATTTTAAATTTTGATTTTTTTTAGTATAAAAAATGCGAAATCTTTTTTATTTTTATAAAAAAAAAACTATAAAACTATGAAAAATGCTATTGGAACTGTCGTTATTTTTTTTATATTAATAGAATGTCGTGCTAATTTTAAAGATCCAACTGGACAATGGATTTACTAAACTGTGATTTAATTATAAATCTCTTTATCAAAATATAAAGAAAAATAAAATAATATTTTCTTTATATTATTTCGGCAAATTTTTTTAGATTATTTCTATTAAAAATAATAAATATTAATTCTTTTATAGAAGTTATGTCATTTTGATTCCTTTAAAATTAATTAGTGCTGTTTAATTAACATGAATTAAATGAATATTACCTAGTAATTGTATTAGAAATTTTGATGTTAACTCTGAAGAGTTAATTATAGCGAGTTCACTCATCAATTACAAAACATAAGTATTTCTATATTAGTATTATATTTTTTATTTCTTTTTTTATATTAACCTTCACAATTTGCTTTGGCAACTGCGTACACAGTAGACACTTGGGTTACCCCTGCTAAAGAAAGCATTGAAGTTGTGGGAAAACAATTATGCATTGTCTACCAACACATAAATGGTTTGGACAGTACATGACGTCCATGACATCCGCAGTCAGAGCTTATCTTTTCAAAAGGAAAGAAAGACCTGAAGTTTATTATTGAGTGCATATGAACCCAGAAAAGGTTACATCATATTCAAGGTTATATCATATTCGAAAATATTAAAAAAATATATTTCATACAAGTTATTTCTAAAAAATATCTATGTAAAAGCTGTTTAAATTATATCTAAAAGATATGGCAAGATTTTTTTCTAAAAGCCAAAGTTTTTGTCTGTCTGGGAATAATCTTGTGCGGAAGATATTTCTATTCTAATCTCTTTTATGGGAAAATGTATGATAACGATCCATTTTTCGAATTTACAGTATCTTAAACAATGATAGATAAGATACTCTTAAAATTTATCTAGATATAGATATAGTTACATGTACAAAAATTTATCTAAATACAGATATAGATACACATATTAAGATGTATATAGGTACAGATATCAGATACTTTGAAAGTATCTTCAGATATTTTTAAATTAATTTTATAATAACGTAATTTTGTAAAAAACATATTAAATGAATCATTCATTTATTTATTTTTGTTTTCTCTCTATCTCTCTCTCTCTCTCTCTCTCTCTCTCTCTCTCTCTCTTATTGCCCGTAACTGAGTGTGGTGACTTCTCATATGCCTGTGGTGCGCACGCTGATTGTGCACAGTCATATAGAACCTACTGATTAATGTTGATTCCGAACAATGATTTTTGTTAGAAAAGTTCTCTTGGCAAAAGATACTTTCGGTAGTTTGCCATTGCCTGCTGAGAGGAGCTATGAACGTTCGAAAAATTTTTCAGTTCTGCATGGGACCCAAGATTTTTGGCATAATAGTCTCGTACGTTGCATGCCACGTTCGCACTCGTTATATTTATATAGATAATTAATAAAAAAAAAACTTATAATTATCATAAAACGATTTAGGATAAGAATTATAAGACGATATTATTCATCATAGTTAAATTAAAAATGCTTCGAGTATTGTGTTTTCAGCTTAACTATATATGCGTTAGAAATTTTACAATCGAAGAACACTGGCTGCAGAAAAAGCAGTTGTGTAACTGTAAAATTCTTTAATATGACTGATTTGCATTTAGATTCTGTGAGGAACTAAAGGAAAGACCAATCATGTTGCAGAATTTTGCAACAGCAAAGCTACTTTTTTTCTGCGGAATAGAATCAATCGACAATAGCCTAGTTTCCACCGAGGGTTTAAACCGGATTAGAATGTAAGACCCAACCAACTGCAATCGAGTATTCCCCTGTTACAGTCGAACAACAGGGGAATGCTCGACTCTCAGTGGAAACTGGGGGTTTAATCATGCATAGAATAAAATTATGACTATGTTGAGGAAATGTATCTGAAAAATGTATTTGAAAATCAGTTCAGATGCTGTATTTTTTTATCTAAATACAGACACAAATACTCGAATTTGAATGTATCTCAGATACACATTAGATATATAAAATGTATCTCTATACAT